GGGTGTAGAAGGTGTTGAGGTCATCCGGCAGGCTGTCTGTGGAGCTAATGATACTGGTGGTGGTCCTGTAGTCTGTGATGTGCTGCAGGCCTTGCCACATCCGTCCGGAGTCAGCGGTAGAATAGAAGCCATTCAGCTTCTCTGTGTACTGCCGCTGTGATGGCTTTCCTCAGTCTGTACTTCACAGCTTTGTACTCCGTCCCCCCACTTGCCTCGCTTGCATCACTGTCTCCGGGTCGCTCTCCTGATTTCAGCAGCCTGCTCACTTGTGCCTGGTGCTCCGGGGGCTCCCTGAGGGTGATGGTGGTTGTCGTTATTGTTGTTGTGGGAGCAGACAATGAATTGTAGCTCCGGTGGTATGAAACCAGTAAATTCCCAGTGGCTGTGTGAGTTGGCGATATCCAGCAATGCCTGTCTGTTGTATGTTAGCAGTGCATGACATTTGTGCACTGCAAAAAAAGTAAACACACAAAAAAGAAAACAAAAAAAAAACTGGCATTCGAGAGTGGAACGCGCAAACACGCCTGCCTCGGTGGGCGCCATGTTTTACATGTGGTAATTAGAATTTATGTTTTACATGCCATGTTTAATTTATGATTTCAGGCATCTCGGGATGATAGCTGTGTGTGTGAGCTGAGAAATTCAGAGCAGAGATTCCCTCATGACAAACTCAGCACAGTGGAAGACAATACATCAGAATGCAATAGCAACATCACCTCACAGAAGGTAACTAATGATGGTCATTTCAAATCTCCCTACTCAGCTGTAAGACTCCAAATAAATATACATTGTAAATAAACATGTATGCATTCTTGGCAATGGAGTGCTGATCGATGTATAATCCATGAGTCTCCTTGCAGACTCTGGAGCTGGAGAGTCTGCTGCTGGGTTTGGAGCGACGCCTGCCCCAGCTGCAGGAAGATGTGGCAATACTAGAAAGGGAGAATGATGGAGGCCTTTATGGAGCTCTCAGCCTGCAGGTGATAGAGAATGAAATGAGGGATATCATGCAGCTCATTGAGAAGCTCAACAGCACCACCCTGGGACACCAGCAGCTCATAACTGACACCACCCAACAGGTCAATTTACAAACACTGGTATTATCTAAGAAGGGAGTGTCTGTGTGCAAATTTAAAAATGAATTTTATTATTATCATTTATTTGTATCACATTTAAAGTAGCACTAAGACTTTTACTACATCATCCCATAGAATGTCTAATATATGCAAATCTGTACAGCTGCTTTCTTAAAAGACAAGGGCGGTCATTGTGTGGACGCTGTAAAGCATCCTGTTTTTATTATTATTCTGATTTCTTCCGTCCGTTTTTCGGCACTTAATTTCTTCAGCATACTTTCAGCTACAAAAGCCATGAAGTTATCAAAATGTTCTTTAAGGACAATCCTGCTTGTATTTTATTGATTGTAACATTTATACTTTTTAACATATTTAGCTTTTTTCAGCAGATTTTGCCCCATTCAAATGAATGGGAAAAATTTTCATATTCTATCTTCAGCATACCTTCAGCTAAAACCACCATTTCAACTAATAACTATTCAGCAACTCTTCAGCTATTCATACTGTAAACAGCTTTTTGAAATTTTTTAATGGTTTTTGCACAATTATCATTTACGTTATGTCTCATTTCAGTAGCCACACTCTAGTATTTCTCAGTGTGTAGGACTACTCTTTCTTTCTTTCACAAATACACACAAACACACACACAACACTGCTTCTTTTACCTACTTTGCGGGGACCAATAGTAAAATGTTCACATATGAATAAGTTCAGTATACTGTTAGAAATTAACCCAATTCTTTTGATGGAAGCACGAGAAGTGAGGACAGGAGAGGATTGTTTAAAATCAACAGAAAGTTTACTGAATGTCTGATCACAGGAAAGTCTTTACAGCGCTGGGATCAGAGGGACAGAGCTCCTGTAGGAGTTCCATCCACTGACCCTGAATTAAGGTCTTACAATATATTTTATCTAGTTGGGCTGCTCCGCCCTGGACAGAGGTGCAACCTTCAATAGTTTGTGATCCTAGTGGTCATTTGGTGCGAGCCAGAGCTTGCACTTCCATGTTAAAATATGGTAAATCTAGGTATGTGTGTGTGGGGGTGTGTGTGTGTCTCTCAGGTGGTGAGCCCCTGGCCTCTGCAGGACATCCCAAGACAAAGCAAAGCTTGGGATGTGCTAAGTGGGTTGAGGTGTGAGTGTAAAACACGCCTTTGCTAAAATGTACGTAAATAGGCTGTCTGGTCACAAAGAGATGCAGACATCTAGTCTCTACACAAAACTTAAGCATTCAAAGTAAGCAGATTCTGCTTCATTACAGCTGTAAGATATATAAACAAGGGAAACAATTGTATTAAAATAACCAAAGCTCAGTAGTTCTGGATAATCATCAATACAGCTGTAATATGCATAAACAAGTAAGATAAAGTTATGAAAGGTAACTAAAGGTATGAGAAGTAACTAAAGCTTATAAAGTAACTAGAGTCTATAAGACTCAAATCTTACATGTCCATTGTGGTGTTGTGAAAAGTCAGATTGCCTTTAGATAGTGTAGGAACCAGTTCTTGCTACCATGCTAACTCTGAGAGACGAGGCAGTCCAAGTAACTTCAAAACAGTGCTGATTTATTCAAAGGATCACAGGTAAAATTAACATTACACGCTCAGTGGAGTCCAGGAGGGGGAGACTGTTCAAATGTCTTGGTATGTTGAAGCCTAAAGAATCATTGTCAATGGATCTAAGAGACCAAGCACAGTTCCTGAGAAGCAATTTCACCTCATGAGCCGATGCCCTGCATCGTACTCAGTGGTATCGGTGTGGATGTGGCAGTTCAACCATGGAGCCCCGCTTCAGCGAGCTCTCCATGTCGTACTAGAAAATCTCTTTCAAGTAGGAAACC